TTACGGCATGTCATACCGTGTACGTTGTTCAAGTCAATACCGTATGCTTTCAACTTATACGATAACCATTCTAATGGGAAGCCATTTCAATGTTAGAGCATGTCGTACCGTGTACGTGCCGTAAGTCAGTACCGTACGTTTCCCACTCATACTTGAACCATTCTTAGGGGAAGCCATTTCAATGTAACAGCATCTGATGTTACACCGTAATTTTGTTATACCTGACAGTTTTGAATGGCTGCTTTGAAGAAGTCGTCGAGGAGCAGGTTCTGTAGGTCGTGGTTTTTCTGAAAAGCTTCTTTAATATTACCAAGAAATACACTGAAAAAAATGTTAAAATATATCATAAACAATGGTCGATATCTTGAAATCTTGGGGGCGAGTGCTTTATGGATGCATGCAGCACAGGCGAGTAAAGAAGTTCCATTTCGGATATTTGATTTTTATTAAACAAATGCGTGCAGTTATAAAGCAAGTGGGACGCATGCGCACTCCGCTACTTCTCTCGTGTTAAGCGCGCGCTTTATAACAATACACGCGTGACTACAGGATAAAAAAATCACGTTGACCTAAAAACAGATGCTAACGTATATTCATAATCACTACGAATACTTAATACATACCTTCTTATGATACAACCACCCCTCCACATCAGAGCAATTCCTCCATAATTGAGATTCCAACCAAAGACTTTGGCTGCTTCTCTCATCAGCATGAACCCCTGGGCATAGGATACGATCTTGGAAGCGTATAAAGCCTGGAACGAGTAGAAGCGTACGTAATAAGAACTCCCTTGAGCAGCAAAGAGACATTTTGTATGATACATTATAAAATAATTCAGATAGTACGCGTGCTGTGATTGGCCGAGAACCGTGTTTGTATTTCACAAACACGGTTGTGACGCGCGTCGACACCGGCGGGAAAATTTGAGTTTTGTTTGGAAGTTGTACTTGTACACAAATAGTCATAACTCCAGTACAATTAGAAGAATATGGCTAATTTTCCATAAATTTCCATGTATTTTATTTGTTAAAGAAAATGATTTATGGGTTCTCCGGTTTTTAGTCCTCCGTAAAATTTAACATGTGAGTGTCGTATGTTGTAAATGTAGAATGTAGTGGTAGTGCGAGTGGAGTTAACCTCACGGAAGAGCCTCGCAGGGGGAGTGATGGTCGTAGAATATGGTGAATCGATCAATGGATGAAAGGGTGGAAGGAAGTAAGGAAGTTGAAGAAAGGGAGGAGCTGGGAAGAGTCGAAAGGAAAAAAAGGAACTCAAGGAAGTTCAAGTAAAGTCGCGGGAAAATAGTAGATTTGGTAAAAGTTAGTTAATTCGTTTGCTTTTTACCTTTCTGATGTGTTCAATGAATTCTTTTTTATCCCCAGTGTATTTACAAGACGAAGGACCCTTCAGGTGTTTACTGGCTTCAACCCTCTCATCCTTGAGGGATGACAAACAACGAGCAAAGACAGATTCACCTGGTTTGATTTAAAAACAACTATTTAGTAGTGCTGCATAAGTGTTTCCTCTAACCTTTGGGGTCTCTAGTTTCATGAGTGTTTTCCTTGTTTGATCTCACACATGTAAGGTTTGTTTTCCTAGACTTGGTGTCATATGTGAGTAGTTTTGCTGATTCCCTCCTGTGTCACCTGCCCCCACTTCCCTCACCCCAAAGCCCTAAACAGAGGGCCCCTCTACAGGCTATTTTCTGTGCTTTGAGGGTTTTTTCTTAGGGTTCTCTGATTTTTCCTCCCTTCACAAAAACAACTTATAAATAATTTCTAATTTGTTTTACTGGCACGTGGTAGCTGTGGTTCATAACTTCAATGGTACCCCCCTCCCCTTGTGAGGCTGGAGCATTGTGCTATGTATGAAATTGGAATGAACTTGGAACTCCCCTTTGTGAAGCCAATCGACTTTTTTCTTCCTAACAGTCATTTTCCCCTCCTTACCAATCAGAGTTACAGGAATGCCATACTCTAAAGAGGAAATAGCTGTCCACTTTCCTGTCCCTTTCTGAAACAAAATGAATGAAAAATTAGAGATTAGGTGTCTTATTTGGTTTTTGTTGCATAGATAGATAGATAGATTAGTGTAAATTGAGCCAGACTTGTTATAAATACATTCAATCATAGATGCAATCTATTGCTTTTTATAATTTGCTTTGCCCCAAAACAAAGCTAGAAATGATATATATGCTCAAGGGGTTTAAAAAAGTCACATTAACCTGGCTAAGAGTAGTAAAGAGTAGCTTAGAGTTTGTGCTGTAGTTGAGTTCAAAAATTTCAAACTGGTTTTAAAGTTTTTTATAAAACCAATTCCTCATTTTGAGCCCGACACATCCTTTTTACTAATCATTTCTTATGATAATAATATATAAATAATATAAAAATAATATATAAACAAACCTGGCCTGCAGAATCTCTTATCTTTTCGACCAATGGACTACCATCAGCATCTTTGTAGGCAAGAATATTTTTTGTGATTTCTATCAGAAAAGAGTCCAATTCTCCTTTGTTCCATTCATCAAACACCTGAGGGGAAAATAAGTTTTAATTATTTTAGTATTAAATTCATCCTTTTTTATACCATAAAATACCAGTTATAAAAGCCCCAAATTATACACCCACTATCTACTAACACAAAATAAATATACAACCAGTTATATAAGAAAGCACGGGTGGCATAGTGGTGAGAGCGCTCACCTCTCACCAATGCGATCTGGGTTCAAGTCCCGACAAGCTCGGGGTTGTATGTGAGTAGAGTTGTTTGTTGGTTCTCTCCTGTGTTTTGAGTGTTTTCCGGGTTCTCCGGCGTTCCTCCCTCCGCAAAAATCAACTCCTAAATTCCAATTGGAATGACAGTGGATGAAAAGCCACTCTGTGGAAATGCCACTGCTAAATCCTATTTATTTATTTTATTTTTATTTTTTTTATTAAGCTTCTCATTATTTTTGATACAACCATTGATAACATTCATTTGATGACACATAAAAAAACATGATAAAAGTGATAATTAATATAGATAGATACCTGACTCATTTCATCTGAGGTCAAACCAAGTCCATCCTTCATCAGATGGTAAGCCTCGCAACAAAGCTACAAGGACACAAAAAGACAGCAACTTTTAGCCAAGGAACCAAGTTAACTTTTAAGTAACTGTCTGAGCTCAGGCGTTTGCCTGCTTATTCTGAAAGCCCTACATGAGTATGAAAAAAAAGTATAATGTAATACCTGCATATCTCCGTATTCTATTCCATTGTGAACCATCTTGACAAAATGACCTGAACCATCTCCACCAACCTTAACAATTATTGAATATTATTGGTAATTAGCAGGTTGATAGGGTAGAAAAAAAGACATTGCCACCACCTCACTCACCCAGTCACAGCATGGATCGTTGCCTGCTTTTGCAGCAATGGATTGAAATATGGGTTTAATATGATGCCTGTGCAAAGATAGATATTAGTAAGCTATACTGTATGTAACAATACTTTGGGATTACCTGGGGTAACATGATTCATTCTGCTTAATTCCTCTGTTGCATTACAGTGTTTGACAATTAGTCTGAACATAATACTTGTGGTACAGTGGTATACTTGCTGGTCTATATTCCCTCTCAATGAGCTGGTATGTGGGGATAGTGGTACTCTTCAGGTCTAGAACCCTTCTCTAGGACCTCAATGTATGGGAGAGAAGAGAAGGTGGAAGGGTCCTTTGATGAAGCAGGTCAGCACACACTCTCGGCTCATATCTAAATCGTTACATCATCCTTGAATCTAACAAGAATAACCCCTCCTAAAACTCAAAGCACACACCCCCTGAAAACATGCGTGTCGATAATGATTTTTTATGCCATTGATTGATACATACCATGCCTTTTCAGAACCACCTGGCATGAGAGACGGTCCATATCTGGCTCCTTCTTCACCTCCACTAACACCACTCCCAACAAACAGCAAACCCTTCTCCTCTAAGAATTTGCAACGCCTCTGTGGATTTGCAAAAAACGTCCTTAAAACCTTGAAAGAATGCTGTAGTTATCAATCCCAGTAAAGGTGGCGGGGAAAGTGGAGATTTAGGAAGTTAAGTTCTGTGGAAGCAGCAGTAAGGGGGACTCGCGGTCACCATTCGGAATACGCCGGGGATTACCTGCCCCCACGTAACGGCGGCCCCCTCGGGAATTATTCGAGCCAACTCTACGGACTTTTAGGCAAATATCCGATTTGTCCACCTTACCCGTACCAAACCCGTAGGCAGTAAGGGGGACTCGCGGTCACCATTCGGAATCGCCCGGGAATTACCCGTGTTTATACACTAGCGTCCCCCGCGGGAATTACCCGTGTCTCGTTATTTGTTGCTGCTATGTTGGGAATATTTGTCTTATATATGCATGAATGTAAAAAGTTCACCAATGACTTCTG